CGAGCGCCAAATCAAGAACAGACCGCGCATTGTACAGCGCACTCACTATCCGTGTCCGGATTGCCATCAGACGAAATTATAGATCCGAGCTTGTCTAAATGTCGTTCGTAACGCGGTCAAGCTTACAGCCACGTATCTTGAAGGAGGCGGACTCACTTGAGTAGGCTTAGTCAGTTACTCGTTTTCTTGACATTGAATCTGGAGCCCGAAATTCGCGCAGCGCCGATCAGGTTTTGCACTGTCACTTGAGGTATTATTTGTCGTCGGGCAGGGGAGCATACACATCGTCAGCGGTACAAAAGCTTCAATGGAGGCGCATTTGAAGGTCTCTGAAATGCAAATCCCAGACGGCAACGAAGAGGAGGCGGGGAGAGCGTAAACCTTGGTCATCCCCACTTGTGGCGGGGAACTCCCCAATCGAAGATGATTGACTGAGGTTTCTCGCGATAGACTCGTTAGCTGGATTACAGGACGCGGCACCCAGCTCGATCAGCTCTCTCGGCAAACAGCCGTGGCTTCGCTAAGGGGTACCATAAAACTTCACGGGGAGCACGATCGAATGCCTTTTCCAGTCAAGGAAGGCTTTGATGAACGTGCTTCTATTTCACGGATGCCCTCTCCGGAAAAAGAGGCGCACGCGCATTTAATGCATCGATGGTGGCCACACCCCTTCCACTCCTGAGTTGGATTGATGAAGGCTGGGCGATATTACGGATGCGAATGTCCAACAAATGTTCCTTAAATTTTTATGGTGTGCGAAGAGCAGGCGAATTGCACGATATTGTAATTCTTCTCTCTCTGGGCAACGACGACCTTCGAGGAACTTTGTCAACAACTTCAGCAAAATATGCAGTGTGATTTCATATTTCGGCCGCCACGCGCCGTCAGGTCTGTTGGCTTTGCCTGGCCCTCATTCCTTGAAAGTACGCTCTTGCATCTTCTTCACGCGTATATTGTGAATCGAGACCACGTATCGGTGAGGCACGAGGTAGGGCTGTTGTGTGAATATTCTAAACTCTGCAAAATTCCCCTCAGCGATAGTCGGCGTCATCGCCTCAGGCAACCTTTTGTCCCTCTTCTCGTCGTTGAGGCCGTCAAGAAGCTAAATCTGCACATCCTGATATATTTCGCGCAGTTTTCAAGCTGACCTGCTCCTCTGAGAGACAAGTGAGAGCGCCATGGCTCTTCCGTCTTCTTGCGAGAATGATTATTCTAACGATGTCTGTACACAACCCATTGTCTGCTTGTCAATTCTACGTCTTCCAGGCTTCGTATGCCGAGTTTGGAGCGAGCGTGCGGTGAGTTAATCGATTTGGCAGCATCCACGATCAGCGACATTGACGGTAGGTGACCAAATAGGCGGCGACCTACAGCTGCTTCCGTTATTTCCATTCGAGTGTCACACACCAAATATATTCTCCATCAGAACCGACATGCCGCAATCGTAACGCTACTTTGATAGCTTGGCCAGTGCGATTTTTCAGACCCGTACATAATATCAACGGATTTTGCCGTGCGCAGCTGTCTCGTGCACAGACTTTCCGTCCTAGTGATAAGCCCCTGATGCGATACCTGAGCAAGAACCAACTCCAAACCGAAAGCTACCCGTGACAACTGTAACCTTCTTTGTGAGGGCCAACCGTAATTCGTTTGGAAGCCACAGCAGCGATAGACGACGGTCTTCCGACGGTATTTCAGCTGTCACAGCAGAGACTAGAACTCGTCCAATGTGACTTTCAAGGCTCCTGTTGCGTAAGAAATACGTAGAAAAACAAAAGGCTGAAGTCATTGCTCGACAGCTCGAACAATCGTGAGAAGAATCGAACGTCTACCTATCAATCCACGGAGACGTCGAAGACACGATTTACGGCACACGCCGGTTGGTAGTCTATACTCGCGCACAAAAGAATGGCTTCGAAGCCGACGCCAGACCTCTCTCGTGTTACAACTGGACCATCTTGTTTCCTGCACAGATATCTACTCGTCTGCGCGTCGCATTGCC